TTCTCCTTCCTCTTCCTCTTCTTCTCCTTCTCCTTCCTCTTCTCCTTCCTCTTCTCCTCCTTCTCCTTCTCCTTCTCCTTCTCCTCCTCCTCCTCCTCCTCCTCCTCCTTCTCCTTCTTCTTCTTCTTCTTCTTCTTCTTCTTCTTCTTCTTCTTCTTCTTCTTCTTCTTCTTCTTCTTCTTCTTCTTCTTCTTCTTCTTCGATTCTGCAGAAAGAAAGGGGAGGAAGGGGAAAATCCAGGCCCCCACATGCAAGACTGACACATTTGGGAGCAGGGAATCCCCTAGTCCTTTATAGTTACTGATTCCTTCTTATGCTCCCTCTGGCTTTTTACAAGTTTGCCTGAACGAGAGGACACGTCCTCTTTTGTCTTGGAGAAGGAGGGAAACAAACAGAACAGGGGAGGGAGCGTCAACCTAAAGAGAGAGGTGGAAATGGGGGGAGGGCAGTGGGCAGCCCTTTAATACCCGCAGCAACAATTCTACTTTAGAAAGGATTAGCAATTCGAAAGAAGAGAAGAAGAAGAGATTGGATTTATACCCCGCTGCCCTTCACTACCCAAAGGAGTCTCTGAGCGGTTTACAAACTCCTTTCCCTTCCCCTCCCCACAACAGACACCCTGTGAGGCTGGGGGGGGGGGGCTGAGAGAGCTCTTGACAGAAACTGCTCTTTTTCAAGGACAGCTCTGACAGAGCTTGTGACTGACCCAAGGTCATCCAGCCAGGTGAAGGTGGAGGAGTGGGGAATCAACCCCGGTTCTCCCAGATTAGAGTTCGCGCACTTCACCACTACACCAAACTGGCTCTCACCAAACTGAGGATAAAGAATAGCAGCAAAAGGAGTTTTGGAAGTGTGCTGGAAGCTGTCTGAATGCAGATTCCTGTAAAACAAATGCAGAGACAAGAGAAAGCCTCGAAACAAAGTGGAAGTGAAAGCGGGAGGGGATACAGACTGGAAGACTGGGACGCACTCAGGAATCGAGGCGAAATACGTGTGCAGAAAGGGGCCGGGCCTAGATTCCTCTGAGGGGGAAACCACATGCGCTCTGCATGCGGAAGAGTCCAGGGTCAGTGCTCTGCATAACTAGATTAAAGGATAAAGTTGGGAGTCCAGTGGCAACTAAGTTTAATCCTGGGGATAATCTTCTGTGTACGTATCCAAAGAACTGTGTGTGCCCCCGGACGCTGATCCCCAGAATCAAACTTTGTGGGTCTTAAAGGTTCCCCCACTGGACTCAAGCTTTGCTCTGCTGCTTCGGACCGACGCGGCCCCCCACCTGAACCTAGATTAAAGGATCTCCACCCTGCTCCCAAAACCCCTTTACTGGTCGTGGCGGCAGGGAGTCTTGGAGAGCTGTGGAAGAGCAGACAAGTTTGTGCTAAAGGGACCCACGGCCTGACCAGCCATATTTGTGAGCACTCTTTCCAGCTTTGCAGTAGAAGGCAAATATGCTTGGCTGTGCTGATGGAGGGAGCCTTTGTCTGGTTCCTGAGGGCCAAACTAGATAGGATGTTCTCAGGGGTCATTTCCTGCAGGAGCGCACAGGAGCGGAGCTCCGGCAGTAAAGAGCCCAGGGGGCGGGCACATGCAACAAGCCCCACCCCCTGCTCCCAGAAGCCCTCAGAGCAAGAAGCAGCCAGGTAAGTTGCAGAGCCCCCCAAACCCCCCGGTCCAAAACAGTCCAGTGGCACCTTTAAGACCAGGTTTTATTCAGGTACGAGCTCTCCCTCCCCGGCGAGGACAGAGCTGCACGTCCCCCCCCCCCAATAGCTAGCAATCCAGAACAGTCCAGTGGAGCCTGAGCAGTGGGTGTTGCCTTCTGACACACATCTGGTGATGTAACTGCACTAGAAAATATTTAAATAACGATCACAAAATTTATACCAAAATGTGTACCAAAAAATCTGCATATATAAATGCACAAAGGCAGTTGAAAATGGTGAAATTGACGATGATCTCCGGAATGTTCTACCATTTCGATACTATTCTTCTGTCAGCAAGCTGCCATTATGTTGTATGTTTTATTCTGCATGGTATACTGTACTCGATTCATCCCCCCTCCTGTTGCCCCTTGTGTAGGTGTTTACTTTCTGTTGCTAGCACACCGTGGAACTGCTCAAGGTTAACCAGCTGGTGGTGGGAAGGAGTTATGGCTTGCTCTCTTTATTATGTATTCTGAGGCCTGAGAATGAACTTGTGTTTATGTAGTATGAACCGTTGTGTTCCCAAGGAAAGGGCGCTAAGACTTATCACACTCCCGCCATCGGGAATTGGGCTCATTGGTCCTGTCTCGGTTCAAGTTCCTTTATTATGTTTCCCTTGGACTGTTGTAGTCATTACTAACAATGATTGTGTTCCTGATCTAACCATCTCTTCTAATAAATCTTATTTTGTTCATCAAACGTGGATTTGCTTTGAATGAATGGGGAATCGGACATCTTCTTCCGAACATTCCGGAGATCATCGTCAATTTCACCATTTTTGTATAAATTTTGCAATCATTACTTAAATATTTTCTAGTGCAGTTACCTCACAGTTTCTTCTTCTTTCTTCTTTTTTCGGTCTGTTCTGTGACTGTGACCATCATTTTTGAGCCACACTTCCGGTGATGAGTTGTGCCAATGAGTTATCCTAATGAGCTCCTGCACTACTTTTTCTATGAAGTGATCCCTGGACATTCTTAATGAGTTGGGTCTGGGTTACCTGGAGCTAGAATTGTTCCTCCCCCACCCCACCCCTGCATCTTGTTTCCTGGCTCCGCTCAGAGTGGTGGCTGGAGAAAAATTTCAAAAATATGTTTTTTTGGGGGGTGATGTGACATCACTTCCAGGACACACCCAGAAGTAATGTCACTCCCCTCTCAGGATGGCCAGAGGAGGATGACGTCAATTCCTGGGTTTTCACAGATATGTAGGGCGAGACCTGGTGGGTCGGTATTGCACCCGCACGCCAGCATCTCAACGCTGGAAGTGATGTGGACAGTTTAGAGTTGCCAGCCTCCAGGAGGGGCCTGGAAATTTCCCAGAACGTGCAGATCTGTCCTCGCAGAGGAGGGAGAGCTTGTACCTGAATAAAACTTGGTCTTAAAGGTGCCACTGGACTGTTTTGGACCGGGGGGGAGGGCTCTGCAACTCACCTGGCTGCTTCTTGCTCCGACTGAGGGCTGCTGGGAGCAGGGGGCGGGGCTTGTTGCATGTGCCCGCCCCCTGGGCTCTTTCCTGCCGGAGCTCCGCTCCTGTGCGCTCCTGCAGGACATGACCTCTGAGAACATCCCATCTAGTTTGGCCCTCAGGAACCAGACAAAGGCTCCCTCCGTCAACACAGCCAAGCATATTTGCCTTCTACTGCAAAGCTGGAAAGAGTAAAATATGGCCGGTCAGGCCATGGGTCCCTTTAGCACAACAAGCCTCCGCTCCTGTGCACTCCCGCAGGAAATGACCCCTGCCTTTGCACAATGACAAGAAACATAGAGGGACTCAAAACCAAGGTCCCCTCTTTTGGAATTGGCATGCACTTGGAGAGCACATTTTGACTCCCTGGTCTGTCCTTTCTTTCCAGCTGACGATCATCTTCAAGGACGTGAAGGAGTGCATCGAGCAGAAGGAGTACCAGGCGGAAATAGACAACTTGCCGGCCGCTTTTGCGGATGGCTCCATGAATGGTGGAGAGAGGCCCGGAGGGAGCAGCCTGGCCATCCATGAGCGTGTCCCCGGGCGGCACGTGGAGATCCGTGCCGCGTACATCGGCACCACCATCGCCGTGCGCCAGGCGGGGAGGCAGCTTTCCTTCTCCATCCGGGCCGCCGAGGAGGTGGCACGCTCCTTCACGGAGGAGCAGGACCTGCAGCTGTGCGTGGGGGGCTGCCCGCCCAGCCAGCGCCTCTCCCGCAGCCAGGGCAGCTGCACCGGCGGCGCCATCCCTGCGGAGAAGGCCCATCGGCTGTGCAAGGAGAAGCTGCCAGTGGAGGACGTCTACTTCCAGTCGTGCGTCTTTGACGTGGTGGCTTCCGGCGACACCAATTTTACTTTGGCCGCACACGGGGCGTTGGAGGACGCCCGCATGTTCCACCCGGATGCCAAGAAACTCCACCTCTTCCAAAACAGTGCTGCCTGCGCTTGCTGTGGCTCACACGTTTCCTTCTTCCTCCTCACCACGGCTGTCGCCTCGGTTCTTCCCCTGCACTTTTAAAGGTCTGTGTCCATCGGTGACAAGTTGTGTCGTGCCACTTCAAGAGGCCGGGCAAGCAGGCTTGGGGTCCCAGAAGGGCACCCGCGGGTGGAGGCACAGAGTGGGAGAGCTACAAAGGGCACAGACCGACCAGGGGCACTTCAGGCCTTTTTAGAGAGGGGGAAGTCGAGGGCCAAACTAGATGCGATGCCAACCCCACATTCACTTTTGTCGCGCTGGGCAGAGCCCTTTAAGAGTGCCTCGGGGGCCCGATTCTGGTTGGCGCTGAGAGCAGAGGCCCTCCTACCTCCCCTGTGCTGTTTTTATGACCCAGACGGTGCTGGGGTGCGTGTGGGCACATATGCCCAGAATTGGGCACCTGTGGCACTGTTGAGTGGCATTCCCGGGCGTGACAAAACAGAGGGGCACCCCCAGGGCCAACCCGAGAGTAGCTTCTTTTCCACTTCTGCCCCCTGGGAGAGAGGCAGGAGCGGCCGGCTTGTGCTGGATGGCAGCTCTTCGCTGGGCATTGAATGCGGAAGGTTATTCAGGCAGAGAAGCCTTGTTTTCCTTGATGCAAATTCTAGTTTCTTTAATTCCTGCAAAAAAAAACCTGCTGAAAATGGGGACTGCAGAAGTCCTGAGCGGCCCACGCACACACGGGTTTGTTACGCAAAGTCAGTGCTGAGAAAAAGCTGGAAGCAAGGGTGGTGGTCCAAGTCACAGTCATAGTCACCCCCTGCATGCTGTTTCACGAAGAGATGCTCGTGTTCATTATGAACGTCTGGACATTTGTTTTGTGAACACACTCTTTTCTTTTGTCCCACTGACGCCTCTGGTCCAACAGGTTGTGGAGGAAATGCAAAACCTCCCAGATCTTTTGGCCGGGGTTAACATTGGGATGGGCCATATGCCCCATGAAGGGCACCTCACTGGGTCCAACTATGCCTTTAATTCTTTGGGGGTGGGGGGCTCTCTGTCTATCCTCACCAAGGCAACTTGATGGTTCCCCTTGAGAGCCGGAGGCACAATCGGGTGGGAAATGCAGTGGTGTAAATCCAGCACAGGAGAACTCCCCCCCCCCCGATTGTGCCTTGAACCGGTTTACTCAAGAGAAATCCCACCAAAGTCCTCGAGAGTGCCATTGTGTAGATTTCAGCCATAGGTCTGCAGGTGGCCCTCCTAACCTGGCACGGGTGAAATCTCACGGGCTTTTATTGGTGTCTGGGGAAACTACCAGGGAATGTAAATAGAAAAGTTAAATACTTAATATATTAAAGTTGAAGGCTTTTATGGTAAGTTAGCAGTTGTACTATTGAGGCAGCATTGTTTTTCACGGTGAAAAAGCAATCTACGGGATGCCAGAAGGACTTCGTGCGAGGGAAGGACCAGCGCTTGCATTCTGTGGTCTCCCGGCAGAAACTTGCTGTCTGCTAATCCCGTGGAGTTATCGTTCCGCTAAAACGGCAGAAGTGCCAGAGGAAGAATTTGTGCTTTGCAAAATCAGCTCCTTACAAATAACGATCAGCAGTGCCCTTTACAAGTTTGTGGCCCATCAGCCGTTAGTGGAAAGGAAAGGCGAAGAGACTTCTGGCGATGCAAATGTCAAGGAGGGAGGGTCAGAAATCTTTGCCAGAAACTGAAGTGCGTTTCACTGCGGAGGCTTTCCTCCCCAACGCCAGGCTCTGTAGTCCTGCAAGAACTTTCTGGAGGCTTTCTGGCCCAGAATTCTTCACTCAGCTCTTCCAGAAGAATCCCCACTTTTTCTTGGGCTACTGAAAGGGTTCCAACCCACTCGGCTTGGCAGCGTAGAGACACATTTCCGGAGGGCGCAAGAGGGCTGGCACATGGACAGGTGTGTGCCCCGTCTCCTTTCCTGTTAAAAGTTAATTGATCTCTGATCTTGGTTTTGAATTGCTGGGTACTCCATTATGGGGGCCATTTTTTGGCAGGAAATAAATATTGCCAATCAACCCACATCCTTGCCCTCCTGACGGGGGGAATGATAACACCAACGGTAACAGCCTGGCACGTGGGCTCTGTTAATCTTCAAGCGTTTGGCATTAAAATACGTCTATTTTTGAAGCCCTTGTTTCCAGTCATCTATTGCTCATTGAGCTGCGGTGGCTCAAGTGGTTAAGACGCTGAACTGCAGGCTGTGGAAGGTCAGTAGTTCGAGACCCAAGTTGCCACAAGACGGAGTGAGCTCCCGTCTCTAGTTCCATCTCCTGCCAACCTAGCAGTTCGAAAGCAAGAAATTGCAAATAGGGACCACTTCGGTGGGAAGGTAACAGCGTTCCGTGCGCCTTGGTGTTTAGTCATGCCGACCACATGACCACGGAAACGTCTTCAGACAGCACTGGCTCTTCGGCTTTGAAACGGAGATGAACACCGCAACCCTAAAGTCAGACTCGACTGGCTTTCGAGCAAGGGAAACCTTTACCTTTACCTTTATTGCTCATTTTGCTGGCTGGCTTGCAACAGGTGAGGCTAAGAATAACTGCGGAGGGCTCTCCCCTTTCACTCCAATAGATGACGAGGGAGGGAGATTGAAAAGTACGCAGATGGAGAGTGATTTCAGCAAAGCGTACTTTATTCGATTAGGAACAAAACAACTTTGGCAGGTTCGCAGGCCGGCTTATATCCCCCGAGAAACCGCCACCCAAAACACCCCTCCCCCCACTTCCCAATAGGTTATTTACAGCGGCCGAGAGTCCCATAGGCTCTCGGGCGGGAACCCAGCCTCCTGATTGGAGTGGGCTAGGAGCCGCATAGTCCATTGTCTCTTGGAGCGAAGCTCGACATTTGTGCCTGACCGCGTGGAGCCCAAGCTGGCCACGCGGTCTGGACTGGATACATTACAGAGATGAAGCATGCCAGAGGGAAAGAAGGCCCCGCCCGGGCCTGCTGGGTACCACGTGGAAGACCAGCTGTTTGCTGGATCACACCCCGCTGTGGAACACAGTTTGAGTCCAGTCGGGCACCTTGAAGACCAACAAAGTTGAATTCTGGGTATAAGCTTCCGTGTGCCTGCACACTTCTTCAGATATATAGAACAAAGTTGAAGTCCAGTGGCACCTTTTAGACTAACAAAGTTTTATTCCGGGTATCAGCTTCCGTGTGCAAGAAGACGTATCTGAAGACGTGTGCATGCACATGACCCAGAACAAAACTTTGTTGTTCTTAAAGGTGCCAGTGGACTAGGGATGCCAGCCTCCAGGTGGGACCTGGGGGATCCACTGGAATTACAGCTCATCTCCAGACTACAGAGATCAGTTCCCTTGGAGAAAATGGATGCTTTGGAGGGTGGACTCTTGTGGCATTGTCCTCCCCAGGCTCAGTCCCCAAATCTCCAGGAGTTTCCCAACCTGGATCTGGCGACCCTACATCCCCATCCCCTGCTCGAGTCCAGGGAGGACCTGGCAACCCAAGCTCTAACTTTGTTCTGTTGCGTCAGACCAACATGACTGCGTGCCTGAATCTACCCAGCCGTGGGGGTCTCTTTGGCTTTCCTTTTTTTAAAAGAAACATTTTATTTAAGTTTTCCCTAAAAAAAAATTACAGTCATATACTATCTATATACTAATAGCGAAGTTGCCCCCGTGCGTGCGTATACCTAAATCCGCGCATCGGGGGAACCTGGGGAGAGGGAGATTTTTGTGCACACTTGGGGCAGTCCCCAGATGTGCACAAAAATCTAAAAACCGGGGAAAAAGCCACTCGGGCCTCGCATTGGAGACGGCGGGGGGGAGGCAAGGAGGGAGATCGAGCGGGGGGGGTGGAGGGGGGTGGAGGAGACAGGGGAGGAACCAGCGGGATGGGGGGGGAACTTACCTCCTCCTGCTGCTTCCTCCTCTGCCTCATGTGTGGAGGTCCCCCCCCCCGTGAGTATCGCGGGTCCCACCCCTTGTTACATATATAATGTTGAAGTCTACTTTTCCTCTTTACATTTTAACCAAGCATAAACTCTAGACCATCTATTATTAAATACATTCGTATCCTTCCCATGTAGTATCATTGTTAAATTATCCATTTCTGCCACTTCTAACAGTTTATATTGTAACTCTTGTAGGCAAATTGTTAGCTTTCCAATATTTAGCAATCAAAATTCTTGCTGCTGTTACAATATAAGTTAGCAAATATTTATCATTTGGATTTAAGCCATCCGGCATCATGTTAGGTAGATACACTTCTGGAGCTAAATCTAACTTAATTGTGAACATCTCTGCTATTAATTTTTGGACCTCTTTCCAAAATCTGTATATTTTTTCACAATTCCACCACATGTGTATAAATGAGCCTACATTATCTTTACACCTCCAACAGTTCTTTGACATATCGGATGAACATTTTGCCACTTTATCCGGTGACCAATACCATCTGTAATACATTTTTATAATATTTTCTTTATAAGATGTAGCTTTCAGAAATTTTATTGATCTCCATGTTTTATCCCATTCCTCTATTTCCGACTGCCTCCCCAGCATGGACACAGTGGCCAGCCTGCGAAGGGAAAATGCCCGTCACGCCCCAGGCTCCCGCTAGCTAAGATGCCAAGTGGTCATTTGCTGAAAAGATCCAGAGCCCTCCTTTGGGCTGACATAAGATGCTAAGGTGGGGTTTGGGGAGGAGGAGGGACTTCGGTGGGGCCGAATGCCATGGGGTCCACCTTCCAGGTGAGCCAATTTCTGTCACCTGAAGATCACTTGTAATCCCAGGTGATCTCCAGCGACCACCAGGTAGAAGCCAAAAATGAGAGATCACAGAAAGAAGTGATGACCTGCAAGGTCCCTTCCAACTCTAACATTCTATGATTCTATCATTCTAAGTGGAATCCCAAAAACAACCTCCATGACAAATATAACAAAGAGTCAATAAAGATAAGTTGCAAAGACGTTTACTGTAGTAATTTCTGTAGACAATTTTCTTCTATTATCGCTCACACGCTAACGAATACTGCACAATGAACAATTCGTTTCACAATATTTGCTTTATCTGAGCGTGTAGCAATCCCAATTCTTATCAATTACTACATTGTGAACACCTTGGGTTCTGTTATTAGAGAGTCAACATGGAATGTTTCCTTCAAGAAGTGACAAGTAGTAATTGATAAGAATTGGGGTTGCTACACGCTCAGATAAAGCAATACTGTCAAATGAATTGTTCATGGCGCAGCATTCGTTAGTGTGTGAGCGATAACAGAAGAAACATTTCTACAGAAATTACTACAGTAAACGTCTTTGCAACTTATCGTTATTGACTCTTCGTTATTTTTGTCACGGAGGTTGTTTTTGGAATCCCACCACCTGCAGGTAGACAGCCCTAGGCAATGTCCTTTCCGTTGTATTGGGTTTCATGAGTTTTCCCAAGTGATAGCTGTGAAATACTGCTGCACCTTTGTGAATGTGGCTGTATTTTGAATGTTCATAAGGTCTACACTGGTGGTGGTGGGGAAGGGCCATAATCACAACTGACTTATGGCGACTCCGTGGGGTTTCCAAGGCAAGAGACGTCCAGAGGTGGTTTGCCATTGCCCGCTGCTGCATCACGACCCTGGTATTCCTCGGAGGTCTCCTGTCCAAACACCAGCCAGGTCCAGTCCTGCTTAGCTCCCAAGACCTGATGAGGCTGGGCTTGCCTGGGCTATCCAGGTCAAGGCACACCTGCCCTACAAGTTCTGAATCCCAGTTGGTTTTGTTGGAATAATTCCGTTGGCAGAATTCTTCAAGGCCTGCAATTACTGAATCGCCTTCTATGTCCTCACCACTAGGTGTCACAAACAGATAAAGGCTGCAACCGCACACACGATAATCCACTCGTAGTCCCCTTTCAGTGCACTTTCCGACTGGATTTTACTGTCAGAGTGCATTGAAAGTGGATTATTTAGTATGTGTGATTGCAGCCAAACATTGGTCTTGGCTTGTGGTCATCGCGGCTCACACGGCTTTGAATTCTGTCGCATTTGACTGGGAAATCGCTGCTCCCGCTGCCATAGCCAAGTCCCACAGCTTTTCACTGCCGCAGTAAGTGGTGGCGGCTACAAGCACGGAGGGCTTCAAAAGGGAATTAGATAAGCATATGGAGCAGAGGTCCATCAGTGGCTATTAGCCACAAGGTATAGATAGGGGCTCTGGGGCAAGGGATGCCCTGTCTTCTTGGTGCTTGGGGGGGGGGTCAACAGTGGGAGGGCTTCTAATGTCCTGGCCCCACTGGTGGACCTCCTGATGGCCCCTGGTATTTCTGGCCACTGTGTGACAGAGTGTTGGACTGGATGGGCCTTTGGCCTGATCCAACACTGGCTCCTCTTATGTTCTTATGTTAAGAGCAGAGGTACATCAGTGGCTATTAGCCAGAAGGTATAGGTAGGAACTCTCGGTCTGGGGCAAGGGATGCTCTTTCTTCTTGGTGCTTGGGGGGGGGGGCAACAGCGGGAGGGCTCCTAGTGTCCCGGCCCCACTGCTGGACCTCCTGATGGCCCCTGGTATTTCTGGCCACTGTGTGACACAGAGTGTTGGGCTGGATGGGCCTTTTATGTTCTTATTAACAACAAGCACTGAACAATGTGACTCCAATAAGACTCATGTGTTTTAATAAAAGCAATAAAACCAACCACAAGCTTTGCTGAAGTCAGTAGGAGGTAGGGAGATACGAAGCCCAGGAGCAAAAGGGTCTGCGTGCTTTTCAAAGGGAAGGAGAGAAGGCCACATGTAACCCCCACAGTGAGAGCTCAGCTGGGTGTTACCGGACGTGTGGGGCCGCCCCTGATCCAGGTCTCTTCGAAACATCTAGCTGTCGCAGACAGGGGGCGTGATGCCCTCAGAATCTCCTGCCTTCTGAACACAGTGGGAGTGTCCTCAACATGGCGCCCAGGGGCGCCCAGGGACTCACAGCACCGTTCCTATTGTCCCCCTTCAAGTGTTTTAGAAAGTGGGAGGGGCCTTTCTGAGCAAAGCTTCTGATTGGCCTTGGGAGATTTGATTGGCTGTACAGATTTTTTTAAACATCGTTTTGTTACCAGCTGCCCCCACGGCACAAGGAACCTCGCTGTGTGACTGTTAAGTCGCTCGCTTAACAAAGCAGTCAGAGAGTGATTCAGCAAGAACACAACTTTATTATTCAGCTCGAACACAACTCCAACACGGATCAACATCTGATAGCCAGAACAGCCTTTACATTGCAGCTGCCCTGCTTTTAAACATTCCCGGCTAATGTAGCCACACCCACTGTACAAATACCAACCAATAAGGTTGTTCACATAAGGACCAATTACGGATGTTCCCGCTCAGGGAGCTTGCTTGAAAGTGATTGGTTAGGTGCTTCCTGGGCTAGTAACACGATTGGATGGATTTGGATCCTAGCCCAGGATGAAGCTTAACATTACAAGTCAATGAGATGTTTCACATGCATCATGCATTCCCTGGCAGCTTTGGAATACACTACAGTGACTGACGGTAAGCTGCGGTGGCCATTTTGTTGCTGGCTCCGCCTCCCGTGGCAGCCATTTTGTGCTGCGCCCACCACTCTGTGTCAGAATTCCAACGGTGCCCATCCAGTGTTAGCGTGAGCCAGCTCACAGTTTTTTAGCCTACGGCTCACGCATTTTTGTCTTAGCTTTGGGAGCTACTGGCATTAAGAGAGCCAGTTTGGTGTAGCGTGGACTCCAATCTGGGAGAACCGGGTTCGATTCCCCACTCCTCCTCCACTTGCTGCTCCTGGATGACCTTGGGCAAGCCATAGTTCTCTCAGAGCTGTCCTTGAAAAAGAGCCGTTTCTGTCGGAATTCTTTCAGCCCCACCGACCTCACAGGGTGTCTGTTGTGGGGAGGGGAAGGGGAAGGAGTTTGTAAGCCACTCTGAAAGTCCCTTGGGTAGTGAAGAGTGGGATATAAATCCAATCTCCTCCTCCTCCTCCTCCTCCTCCTCCTCTTCTTCTTCCTCTTCTGTTGTTAGCCAGCGATTTGGCTGCTGCCTAAATTAGTTTGTTCTGGAGCCACTCTGAGAGTCCCTTGGGTAGTGAAGAGTGGGATATAAATCCAATCTCCTCCTCCTCCTCTTCTTCTTCCTCTTCTGTTGTTAGCCAGCGATTTGGCTGCTGCCTAAATTAGTTTGTTCTGGAGCCACTCTGAGAGTCCCTTGGGTAGTGAAGAGTGGGATATAAATCCAATCTCCTCCTCCTCCTCTTCTTCTTCCTCTTCTGTTGTTAGCCAGCGATTTGGCTGCTGCGTAAATTAGTTTGCCCTGGAGCCATCCTTCCTGAGCGAAGACAAAAATGTGTGAGTCGGAGGCTAAAGAACTGGTCCCACTAGAGCTAGGTCACAGTAGCTCAGCTTCGAGGGAACCCTGCACACGACCACGTGACACAACAACAATCTGTACTGTCCGGCCAGTCTCCATGCAGTGAAGCACCCCCTACAACACCCACTTACTGCTATCAAGTAAGCAGAGACTCCCGCCACCCCCAGAACCGGCCGCTCTCTGTGGCAAGGGGTGTGGGGGAAGACCACGCCTCGTGGAGGAGGAATAGCCTTCTGGCACAGGGAGTGGATGAGTCACTCGGCCACCGTCTGCCCATTGCCCTCTGGCCCCCAAGCCGCTGTGTGTCAACAGTCCCTCGGCCAACTGGGAGTTTCGATTTGCCCGCTGGTGCTTCAAGGTCCACCTGGCTGTCGATGGGAAAAACAACCACACGAAACTCAAAAAGACCAGATATCCCTTGGCGAAAGTTGCAGCCGAGGAAGCAGAGCTGCTGACCAGGTGAGTGGGGGGGGGGGTTTGTTTCTCCTGGCTAGGAGCTATAAGATGAGGTCAGTAGCAGAGGAGCACGTTAATTCCAGGGCTCCCGAAATGGGTGCCCACCCCCCACTCAGGGCTCCCCAATGTCCCCACGGTCTCAATTTTTGGTATACTGGCTAACTGCGCGGACTCTAATCTGGGAGAACCAGGTTTGATTCCCCACTCCTCCACTTGCACCTGGCTGGATGACCTTGGGCAAGCCGTAGTTCTCTCAGAGCTGTTCTTGAAAGAGCAGTTTCTGTCAGAGCTCTCTCAGCCCCGCCGACCAGACAGGGTGTCTGTTGTGGGGAGGGGAAGGGAAAGGAGTCTGTAAGCCCCTCTGAGACTCCAAGTGAAAGGCAGGGTATACATCCAATCTCCTCCTCCTCCTCCTCCTCCAATGTGATGGAGGAGCACAGAGCAGGGATCCCTGGGGGAGGAGGGGGGGTAGCTGTGAATTCCCCGCATTGTGCTGGGGGTTGGACTAGATGACCCTTGCGGTACCTTCCAGCGCTGTGTTTCTGTGACAAACCAGGACACACACCGTACCCCGAGAGATAAGTAAGGTCAGCACCCATCGTTTGCTTTGCAAAGGCCAACTTTATCCGTGCCTTCGCCTTCTTCAAGAATTCATGATAGGAGTGTCATCAAATATTGGACCTGCATCCTGGAGCAAAACTGGTGAAGAAGAAGAGGAGGAGGTTGGATTTATACCCTGCCCTTAACTCAGAGTCTCAGGGCAGCTTACAAACTCCTTTCCCTTCCCCTCCCCATAACAGACACCCTGTGAGGTAGGTGGGGCTCAGAGAGCTCTGACAGAAACTGCTCTTTTTCAAGAACAGCTCTTGTCAGAACTGCGGCTTGCCCGAGGTCATCCAGCAGCTGTGAGTGGAGAAGTGGGGAACCAAACCCAGCCTTTCCCCACACCATGTTCCCAAACTTACACCATTTTCCCAACTGACATTTTCCCCATTCAGTTACACCAATGGGGGGGTGTGCCCATAAGAAGAAGAAAAAGAAGAGATTGGATTTATACCCCATGGCCCTTCACTACCCAAAGGAGTCTCAGAGCGGCTTACAAACTCCTTCCCCTCCCCCTCCCCACAACAGACACCCTGTGAGGTGGGTGGGGCTGAGAGAGCTCTGACAGAAACTGCTCTTTTTCAAGGACAGCTCTTGTCAGAACTACAGCTTGCCCAAGGTCATCCAGCAGGTGCAAGTGGAGGAGTGGGGAATCAAACCCGGTTCTCCCCAGATTAGAGTCCGCGCACTTAACCACCATACCAAACATTATAACAAAGTTTGAATCCAGTGGCTCCTTTAAGACCAACGAAGTTTTTTTCTAGGTATAAGGTTACGCCCAGAATAAAACTTTGTGGGTCTTCAAGGTGCCCGACTGGACTCAAACTTCGTTCTGCTGCTTCAGACCAACACGGCCCCCCACCTGGATCATTCCCATGATAGTTTCCAGTTCTGATCTGGACTTTGGAGAGTCCAGGACCCCTCTTGCAGCAATCGTCTCCGGTTTTATGCCACCTGCAGTTCATGTGTGACCAAAATAGGCCTGCCTCTTGCTTGGGTTTACTTTGAGATTTTTTTCTCCCTGCATCTTTTCAGTAATGCTTTTAGGTTATCCTCATATTCTTCTCTGGTGGAACCAGGTACGGGTATTCTGCCATCGCTAATTACTTCAATACCTTTCAGTCCTTCCACTACTTCATGTTTTGTTTTTAACATTTCCTGACCAGAAGAAATTCCAAAAGGTATTTTGGTGAAGCGCCAGCGTCCAACTGGAAAGCTGAAAGTAGTCAGTTCACTGCTTTCCTCATCTAGCTTCAGTTGCCAGTATCCAGTTTGTGCATCCAATAGACTGAAATACTTCTCTCTCGAGAGCTTGTGTGTTATGTCCTCTACTGTAGGAAGTTCTGGTTGAAGTCTCTAGGGCAGGGGTGTCAAACATGCAGCCCAGGGGCCGGATCAGGCCCCCGGAGGGCTTCTATCAGGCCCGCAGTGGAACTACCTGCCTTCTGCTTCTTCTTCCATTGCTGCTGCTGCTGCATCGTCGTAGGTTTCCAGCTTACAGATACACACCTGAACAGCATACCCAAGATGGCAACAGCACAGACATTTTGATGCGATAGTTCAGAGCAAGAGGTGTCAGTTATCAGACACTGACTGATTTCGCACTAGAGTTGCCTCGCTGTTGCGCCGCCATTTGCCCCGGTTCTATTAGTCAATTTCACAGCCGAAGCTGCGGGGCTGATTTTGACCTGTGGCTTCGCCCAATTTCCTCCACAGTTTCGTTGATCCTCAAAAAACAGGATCACAAACTGCGGGGGAAATCGGGCGAAGCCGCGGGTCAAAATCAGCCCTGCGGCTTCGGCAACTCTAGTGCGAAATCAGTCACTGTTAAATAAGCAAAATATTGCAAGAGTGCTCATGTTTTAAGCATGCTTTTATTTTAAGGGGGGGGGGACCCCTTTGTGTTTGTGTCCTTTATAAAGTTTATATCTCCGCTACCTGGCATTACCTTTTATGACACACCCGGCCTGGCCCAGCAAGGACTGGACGACTAACAGCCTGGCAGGAGCTTGGCAGGCTGTTCGTCGTCCAGTTGGTGGTGATGTTGATGTTCTGGGGCAGGGCCATGGTGTTAAGGCGGCACCCTAATCGAACGCCTGGCGGAAGAGCTCCGTCTTACAGAAATACCAGGGGCCCTCAGGAGGTCCAGCACTGGGGCCAGGACACTAGAAGTCCCTCCCACTGTTGACACCCCCCCCCCAAGCACCAAGAAGACAGAGCATCCCTTGCCCCAGACCGAGAGTTCCATCTATAAGAACACAAGAGAAGCTAATGTTGGATCAGGCCAGTGGCCCCTCCAGTCCAACACTCTGTGTCACACAGTGGCCACAAATACCAGGGGCCATCAGGAGGTCCAGCAGTGGGGCCAGGACACTAGGAGCCCTCCCACTGTTGCCCCCCCCCAAGCACCAAGAAGACAGAGCATCCCTTGCCCCATAAGAACATAACAGAGAAGCTAATGTTGGATCAGGCCAGTGGCCCATCCAGTCCAACACTCTGTGTCACACAGTGGCCAGAAATACCAGGGGCCCTCAGGAGGTCCAGCAGTGGGGCCAGGACATTAGAAGCCCTCCCACTGTGGCCCCACCGCAAGCACCAAGAAGACAGAGCATCCCTTGCCCCAGACCGAGAGTTCCTATGTATACCTTGTGGCTAATAGCCACTGATGGACCTCTGCTCTTAACATAAGAATAGAAGAGAAGCCAGTGTTGGATCAGGCCAGTGGCCCCTCCCGTCCAATGCTCTGTGTCACGCAGTGGCCAAAAAATACCAGGGGCCATCAGGAGGTCCAGCAGTGGGGCCAGCTCATAGGGGGTACTTAGCTGGTGCTGAATGCCGTTCTGTTCAATACATTTTCCACTTCAGCTCTACTTCTGACCCCATTGTACATACCCAGTCCCTCACTCTGGGTTAGAAAACACTTGCAGGTTTTGTGGGTGGAGCCTGTGGAGGGCGGGGTTTGGGGATGGGAGGGACCATAGAGTTTGCCTGCCAAAGCAGCCCTTTTCTCCAGGGGGACGGATCTCTGTTCTTTAGAGATGAGTGGTCATTCCGGGAGGTCTCCAGGCACTACCTGGAACTTGGCAACCCTCCACTGGTTTGCACCACCAGGCCCAAGTTGCAGAACGACTTCTTTATTCCGCCATTTTGAACATAACCTTGCAGAGAATGGACGGCCAGGTGGGGCTTGGAGATCTCCTGGGATTACCACTGCTCTCCAGATGACCCAGATCAGTCGTCCCCCGTCCCCCCCCCCCCCGCGGGGGAGAGGGGGTGGAGGGTGGACTCTGTGGCATCATTCCCTGCTGAGGTACCTTCCCCAGGCCCCGCCCTCCCCAGGCCCCACCCACAAAACCTGCAGGGATTTCCTAACCCGGGAGGAAGGGCTTCGGTTGAGGAAGGGCTAGATAAAGAGCCAGTTTGGTGTGGTGGTTAAGTGTGTGGACTCTAATCTGGGAGAACTGGGTTTGATTCCCCACTCCTCCACTTGCACCTGCTGGATGACCTTGGGCAAGCCATAGTTCTCTCAGAGTTGTTCTCTCAAGGGCAGTCCTCGAAAGAGCTCTCTCAGTTTGGTGTCGTGGTTAAGTGTGCGGACTCTAATCTGGGAGAACCGGGTTTGATCCTCCACTCCTCCACTTGCACCTGCTGGGTGACCTTGGGCAAGCCATAGTTCTCTCAGAGCTGTCCTTGAAAAACAGCCGTTTCTGTCAGAGCTCTCTCAGCCCCAGCTACCTCACAGGGTGTCTGTTGTGTGGAAAGGAGTTTGTAAATCGCTCTGACACTCCGACTGAAGGGCGGGGTATAAATCCAATCTCTTCTGTCTTTGCCCCAAAATCTCCAGGTGCCTCCCCACCCAAAGCTGGCCACCCTGAGTGTGAGTATTCTATTGCCTCCCTCTGGTCTACCAAGGAACTGCACTCCTAATACACTGTATATTACAACACATTTCTCACACTTTCCTTTCTGCCAGCTCGGTATAACTAAAGAACTCTAGACACGTCTTGGTAAATTCTCCACAATGCAAAACTCAGATTTAAAGGCTGGGGTCTCTGTTTTGTGTGTGCCCCCCCCCCCGAGTTTGCTAATGATCTAACCTTTGCCACAGTAAACCAATTAGCTTCAAAACCCCAAATCCTGCTGTTTAAAATTCCAAATCCTCCCCTGCTGAGGTCCCTCCAAAATCCAAAGCCTGCCAATTTAATTCCCAGCAGCTGTCCCACGGGGTCTGCGAAGAAGAGGAGGAGGAGATTGAATTTATACCCCATGGCCCTTCACTACCCAAGGGAGTCTCAGCTGGGCTTACAAACTCCTCTCCCTTCCCCTCCCCACAACAGACACCCTGTGAGGCAGGTGGGGCTGAGAGAGCTCTTGACAGAAACTGCTCTTTTCCAAGAACGGCTCTGACAGAACTATGGCTTGCCCAAGGTCATCCAGCAGGTGCAAGTGGAGGAAGACTGGGGAATCAAACCCGGTTCTCCCAGATTAGAGTCTGCCCACTTAACCACGACACCAAACTCGCTCTCAAAGTCGTCCCATTGGCTTAGCAGAGGCCTGCTTCTCTACTGGAGCGTCTGGGGGAGGGTTATGACAAGGATCGGGCCCCTTTGCACGTAAACCATTTCCTGTCCCTCCCATTCAGGACCATGAAACCGCTCTGGGCCCCCCTCCTGCTGGCTGTGACTGTGTTCCCCCAAGGCCTGCTGTGTGGTGAGTGTGGGCCCTTTAGGGGCAACTGGCTACTTAAAGTGCAGCAACCCCTTCCTCCTTTCAACTGAGATGGTGAGAGGGCTGCCAATCTTTGACCGTCTTCTTCTTCTCCTCTTTGCACGCCGGCCTCTCTTTTCCCTACCTGGTCCCTCCCGGGCAGACAGTGACGGCTGCGTCACCTCCTTGAAACGGGACGTCCTCAGGCTGATGGTCAAGTGGGAAGACGCCACCTGCCTCCAGAACCAGCAAGGCCTGCCTCCGAACCTGCTCCGGACCCTGCCTCGAAGCTGCAAGGAAATCAAGACAGCCCTGGAAGGCGCTGGAGGTGGGGGGACCCGAAACGGGCACAGGAGATTGTGGTTTTTCGGATGTGTGTGTGTGTGTGTGGGGGACACACAGGGAACTCAAGGAAAGGGGAGAGGCCCTGCTTCCAGTGTGGCTCCGTCTACCCCGTCGGCTGCTAATATATGTTGGGTAATGTTGGCCACTGTGTGAGACAGGATGCTGGACTAGATGAAGGCTTCGGCCTGTATGCCCTGTTGCTGGCCAGACAGCTTGGGATGGGGAAAAGTGATCCTCCACCCCAAAATGGAAGCTTAGGTTGTGGAGAACTGGAGAGATCGCCTCCTTTTCTCTGCAGCCCAAACCGACAGAAGAGAACAGGAAATCTGGAACTGGGAGTGGCCAGTGTGGTGGCAGACGACTCCAAATGATTCAGGATGGTGAAAACCAAGGCAGATTTCTTCACGCAGTGAATGATGAACTTGTGGGACTCACTGACACAGGACGTAATGAAGGCCAACTAGCTCAGATGGCTTGAATAGGGGATTTGGGTAAATTCCTGGGTGAGGAGAGGTCAATCAATGTCTGTGAGCCATGATGGCTCAATGAACCCTCCTTTTTCCGAGGTAGTAGGACTGTGGCCTAGGTGGAGCTTAGCTTTGGTCTGGCTTAACTCTTTTGATGTTCTTGAACCTCAGAAGTGCAGCATAACAATCTTCAGTTTGTTTCCTGAACTTGGTGCTGAGGAGGGGGATGAACCATTCCTCCTGTCCCTAGACTGCATTTTGGAGGGGCTCTGTATCTCAGTTTGGCACCAGAGGCAAGACTCTGTCCCTTCTCCCGTGTCCAGGCAACCACCAGCTTTGGCCAGCCAAAACCCGAGAACACACCTGTTGCAAATGGTGGTCACAATCAGGGGTCATTTCCTGCAGGGACGCACAGGAGTGGAGCTCCGGCAGTAAAGAGCCCAGGGGGCAGGCACATGCAACAAGCCCCGCCCCCTGCTCCCAGCAGCCCTCAGTCAGAGCCGGAAGCAGCCAGGTAAATTGCAGAGGCCCCCCCCCGGCCCAAAACAGTCCAGTGGCACCTTTAAGACCCAAGTTTTATTCAGGTACAAGCTCTCCCTCCTCTGCAAGGACAGATCTGCACATTCCTCCCCCCACCCCCCAATAGCTAGCAATCCAAAACAGTCCAGTGGAGCCTGAGCGGTGGGTGTCACCTTCTGACACACGTCCGGTGACGTCAGGGGGTGTGGCATATGCAAATAGGTTATGCTGATGAGTTATGCTAATGAGCTCCTGCACCTCTTTTTCTACAAAATGACCCCTGGTCACAATTAGTGCTAGAAACTGAGTGAAGATTTTGACACAGGTGCTCTGGGTTTTCTGCAGATGGGTTGTATTTCCTGGGCACAGAAGACGGCGATATCTACCAGACGTTCTGTGACATGACCACCAAGGGAGGCGGGTGGACTCTGGTGGCCAGCATCCACGAGAACAACATCTACGGGAAGTGCACCCAGGGAGACCGTTGGTCTAGTGAGCAGACGCCCAGCAGCAACTACCCCAACGGGGAGGGCCACTGGTCAAAGAACACGACCTTTGGCACAGCCGTGGGCTCGACGAGCGACGACTACAAGGTGAGGCTCTGATCCTGTGGGCAGGCTGACCCAGGAAGGAGGTAAAAAACGGGGCTCTTCCTTCACACACTCACCGACAGAGCACCAGTTATCGTCAGGTTGGTGGAACACATCAGTGAGGAGATTCCTTCATTATCCTCGAAGCCACTTAGGGATGAGTTTGACGCTGCCTCACTTTGGGATGTGTTTTCTCCTCAGACTTCTTTGCTTTCCAGAACCCTGGCTACCATGACATCCAAGCGCAGGACTTGGCCATCTGGCACGTCCCCAACCTCACGCCCATGAGGGAATGGCGAAACGCGGCCATCTTGAGGTACCACACCGAGACGGGCTTCTTCTCTGTTGAAGGAGGGAACCTCCTCAGGCTCTATCAGGTAATGGCGGCTCTCTGGAAGACTCGATATTTGGACATGACTTTGCGTGTTGTGATTTTAGTGTTGAATTTGGCAGATTAAAACTGCCATGCTGTAGAGTGGTGGGTTCAGGGAGAAGGTGGGCAAGATCGCCTGGTCCTGCCATGCTACAACGCAATTTAAAATAGCTGAGTTCGGCTCTAAAAAGGCATTGGCATCCACAAGTTGGACCTGTGGTGGACCTCCTGGTGGCCCCTGGGTTTTGGCCACTGAATCAGGGCTCTTTTTGTAGAAAAAGCCCAGAAGGAACTCATTAGCATAATAGGCCACACCCAACAGCAGAAACTCATTAGCATATCAGGCCACACCCCTGACAGCACAGCTCATTAGCACATTAGGCCGCACCCCCATGTTACCAGAAGTGTGCTCATCCAGCCCCACCCACCTTTTGCTTCTTATTCTGTTTACCTTGTTTGTTGTCAAAACCCAGGGCCTTTTTTGTAGCAGGAACTCCTTTGCATGTTAGGCCACACACCCCTAACATAGCCAATCCTAATGAGTTTCTGCTGTTGGGTGTGGCCTATTATGCTAATGAGTTCCTGCTGGGCGTGGCCAACTTGGGAGCCAGCCGGAACTCCGTTCCTGTGCGTTCCTACCCAAAAATAGCCCTGGCCACTGTGTGTCACAGAATGTTGGACTGGATGGGCCATTAGCCTCATCCAACATGGCTTCTCTTACATTCTCATGTCTGCAGCAGTGATGCTCTGACTTCTTTGTGCTTGGTGGGGGCCACAGTGGGAGGGCCTCTGGCCCCATTGGTAGACCTCCTGATGGCCCCTGGTATTTTTGGCCACTGTGTGACACGGAGTGTTGGACTGGATGGGCCACTGGCCTGATCCAACATTGGCTTCTCTCCTATGTTCTTATTTTAACACCTACTTTCACCCTAAACTAAACTGGTGCAGGAAGCTAAGAAGAGCCTTGCTGGATCAGGCCAGTGGTCCATCTGGGCCAGCATCTGTTTCTAAAGGGTGACCGAGCCAGTTATTCCGGAGGGCCAACAAACAAGGCGCAGAGTTGGAGGCCTTCCCCGATGTGGCTTGCCTCCCGGCACTGGGACCTCTCAGCTGGTTGGCCTTACCATTTGCACTTCCTTCCAGCAATATCCAGTCACCTACGGCAGCGGCAGCTGCCCAAAGAACAACGGCCCCATCGTCCCCGTGGTCTATGATTTCGGCAATGCTGAGCAGACGGCCTTCTACCACTCTCCAAATGCCCAAAGTAAGCCTTTCTTTCCAGAGTCTGGGAAGCCCGCGTGCACACTGGGATTGCGTTTTAAAGGTTCCTCAGATGTGTCTTTATGGAATACTCATGACCCGGATGGCTGGGTGAGCCCCATCTTGTCAGACTTCAGAGGCTAAGCAGGGTTGACTCTGGCTGCTAGTATTTGGACGGGAGACCACCAAGGAAGTCCAGGGTTGCTACGCAGAGGCAGGCAAGGGCAAACCCACCTCTGTGTGTCGCTTGCCTGGAAAACCCTATGGCACGGGTCTAGGGTTGCCAGGTCTGGGCTGGAAAATACCTGGAGACTTTGGGGGTGGGTCCAGGAGAGGGAGGGGTTTGGGGAGGGGCGGGGAGGGGCCTCAGCATGGTACAGTGCCAGAGAGTCCGCCCTTCCAAGCAGCCATTTTCTCCAGGGGAGCTGATCTCTGTCAGCAGGAGATCTCCAGGCCCCACCTGGAGGCTGGCCACCCTACACGGGTCACCAGCGGGATGTCTGTAGGCACTGCGGTGCCCACCAAGTGCTTTTAGAAAGTGCTCAGCAGGGCTTCTGATTGGCGCTGCAGATTAAAAGGCATCCTGTCAAACAGAGCTTCGGCCTGGAATGTTGAAGAGTTCCTGTCAGAGTTGTATATAACCTCAACCCCTAACATTTTGTGGTTGGCCTCGCCTCCTGCGGCAGCCATTTTGTGAGTGGCCCCACCTCCTGCGGCAGCCATTTTGTGACTGACCCCGCCTCCTCAGACAGCCATTTTGCAATTGTGCACGCCACCCTTTGTCAGAATTCCAAAGGTGGCCACAGGCACACGAAAGTTGGGGACCCCTGACCTACAGGATCACCATAAGTCAACTGTGACTTGACAACACTTTCCACCAGGACATGATGGAGCACCGTATTCAGTTGTTTGTTATCAAGTACTACTGTGTTGTCCTCTCCTGGACGGCCAAGGCTAGCCCAGTCTCATCAGATCTCAGAAGCTAAGCAGGGTCGGCCCTGGTTAGTGTTTGGATGGGAGACCTCCAAGGAAGTCCAGGGTTGCTACGCAGAGGCAGGCAGTGGCAAACCGCCTCCGTTCATCTCTTGCCTTGACCTGTGTAGCCCAGTCTCACCAGAGCTCAGAAGCTAAGCAGGGTCGGCCCTGGTTAGTGTTTGCATGGGGGACCTCCAAGGAAGCCCAGGGTTGCTACGCAGAGGCAGGCAATGGCAGACCACCTCTGAACGTCTCTTGCCTTGAAAAGAAGAAGAGATTGGATTTATAACCCGCCCTTCACTACCCAAAGGTGTCTCAGAGTGGCTTACAAACTCCTTTCCCTCCCCCTCCCCACAACAGACACCCTGTGAGATAGGTGGGGCTGAGAGAGCTCTGACAGAAACTGCTCTTTTTCGAGGACAGCTCTTATCAGAACTACGGCTTGCCCAAGGTCATCCAGCCAGGTGCAAGTGGAGGAGGAGTGGGGAATCAAACCCGGTTCTCCCAGATTAGAGTCCGCGCACTTCACCACAACACCAAACTGGCTCTCCTAAGTCGGCTGTAACTTGACAGTGCTTTCCACCCTCACCACTGTGGTGTTGGGCCCCCAAGACAAACTTTCTGCTGGCCTTAAAAACCTTGTTTCCCCAGGTCAATTTGTTGCTGGCTACATTCAGTTCCGGGTGTTTAACAATGAGAAAGCAGTGTTGGCTCTCTGTGCTGGCATTAAAGCCACTGGTTGCGACACCGATATGGTGAGTAGTCGGGGCACGGATGGTCCTGAGAGGGCGGGGTAACCTTGGGAGCTGTGTGCAATCCCCCCCCCCCGCCACCACCTGGATTCCAATCAAGACTCTCCATTTCTATCTTTCTCCAGTTCTGTGTTGGTGGAGGAGGGTATTATCCAGAAAGTGCTCGCCAGTGTGGCGACTTCACTGCCTTTGACTGGAGTGGCTACGGCACACACAAGGACTGGAGTGTTAGCAAACAGTTACTGGAATCTGCCTTGCTTCTGTTCTACCGATGAGTCAGGACGGTGGCTCCTTACACAAGCATCAACAGCCGGACGGTGGAAATGTGCAGATTTTCTCCTTGATACCTTCCTGACCAATGACGTCAATAAAAGAATATGCACCGGACTCTCTTGCCTCAGTGTCGTGTCTGCCTTCTGATGGAGGGGCTGGAGTAGAGATGTAAAATTTCCAGAAATTTTGAAGCTCGGAAAAAAACCCAGTTTTTTCCCGGGTTTCCCCCCCCCCCCCCCAAAAAAAACGGAAATTTTAATAAAAATAGAAAAAAACGGAAATTTTCATAAAAATTGAAAAAAATGCTACATTAGCACTTCTTTTTTCTTTTCCAGATTGACAGTCATTCTGTTACTTTAGGAACATAAAATATGACTATGGATATTTTAACTTGGCAGGAAATTATCACAACTCGCATATTAAAAATAGAGTGTGTATCCAAACAGTTATTACAAACAGAATACCCACCCACATACAAAAACAAGACTGAAACCATTTTCTTTTCTTGTGACAATAGCACCTCCTAAAGGAAGAAATGCATCTTGTTCTTGCATTGGAGAGTTCAGTTGGTAACCTAGGACTTTCTTGTCCTCAATGCACAGAAATTAGATCAATCTGATACCATACATATTTTTTAGAAATGACTTGGAAAATATTTCAACACCTTGTCTTAAAATATTTTATTGATCATGTTAAAATAAAACCTTCCATAATCATATTTGTTGTCTTTTCTCTTCTTTTTTCAATTTTTCCAATTTTTCGGAAAAAAAACAAAAAAGGCTTCAGGAAAAAAACCAGTCCTCCCCCCCGAATTCTTCCGGTTTTTTTCCGGCCCTTCACATCTCTAGGCTGGAGCCCCTCCCTAGGAGGAAAGGCGAGGAGCTGGGGACTTCTTAGTTTAGAAGAAAGATGACGAAGGGGGGAGACATGAGAGAGGTTTATAAACTTATGCAGGGGGAGGAGAAAGAGAAATCCCCCCCCTCTCTCCCGAAATACTAGAACTCGAGGGCATCCAATGAAGCTGATGGGCAGCAGTTTTCAGGACGGACAAAAGGAAATACTTCTTTACACAGGGAATAATTAAAATGGGAAATTAACTGCCAGAAGATGCAGTGATAGCCCCAGGAAAGGGGGGGGGACAGCTTTAACGGGGGATTATGTTGGCAGAGTTTAACCATGCGGAGGAATGGAGCACCAACTGTTTAAAGAAAACAACTCGGTTTATTAAAGAAGAGATGAACTCTGAAAGAACAGGGGAGAGGGAGAGAGGCTTAACTAACTGACTAACTGCTGTGAGAGGCAGGAAGAAAGGGGAGGGCTCAGGTGGAGCAGGAAGTCTCTTGCTTGCGAGAGTGGACTGTGTGCTGTCATCAGGGTTGCTCAGAAGGGTTGGAATCCCTCTTCCGTCCTCTCTCTCTTCTCCGTTTTCTCCTCACAACACCTCTGTGAGGTAGGTGAGGCTGAGAGAGCGTGACTGGCCCAAGGTCACCCAGCCGGTTTCCATGGTCACCCAGCGAGTTAGAAAATGATGTCTCTTACTAGCTGATGGAAGGTCGGAATCCAATGACGTTCTGTGGCCTTCCCACAGATTCCTTTCTGGGAGCCTTAAGGCCTTTGCTAGATATCCCAATGGGGTTTTTTTTTGGGGGGGGGGAGTAATACAGATTGACCAGGACGGCCTCCTAAATTTGGGCTGGTTCTCAAGGCCAGGAGGCCCAGTTGGGTTTCCAACTCTTAGAGGGGGAATTGCTGGAGATCTGGGGTGCTTCATGAGGGTCTGTTGCCATAGAGGCCCCCCCCAAAAAGCAGCCATTTTCCAGCAGAACACCAGGCCCAACATGGAGGCTGTCGATAACAAAAACAACCGTGATGTTGTATTATGACAAAGTATGTATTTTTAAATTCCCCCCCCCCCCAAGCAACAAACCTACAGGGTCAGGGGAAGGGAAAAACCTAAAATAGAGAGTAACAAGGATCCATAATAAAAAATATAAGATCGGTGATAGATCCCTATTATCTTAATAGTAAAATACGAGGGTTAATAATATAAAAGTATCAAGCAAACAATGACGATCTCTTTGGCTATACTGTAAATATCATTGGATTAAAGTTATGCGTTAAGAATAAACATCAGGCTATCGAAATTAAACTATTTTGCATTTTCCTCTCCTCCTGTCAAAGTCCAAATTAATTTTTAAATCTTTAGGGGTAGCAACCCCTAATTCTGCTTCAGGATCAAAGGGTTCCGTCAGACTAATCAAGATGGTATCAAAGTCTTACCCATCCTTCTCTGCTTCTTCTTCTGCGTCTATGTTTTCCTCCACTTTCTCAGGTCCCTCTTCCGCTTTCTGTTGTTGCTTCAGGAGCATCCGCTATATTTCTTTCTCGCTGAAATTTTGAGTTCCTTTTGCAACGTATCCAGCCTGTCGCCAAAGTTGGTCATCTGGTCCAGTAGAGGGCGTAAAGCTGCAGCAATCAGTTTGGGAAAGTCTGTGGTCGCTTCTGGTCTTGTAGCTGGCGATGATGTGCTGGCCGTTCCTGTTATAAGTTTTGCTTTTGGCGCCATTTTTTTCTGCTCGCTGCATCATTGTTTACACAAGAGGAAAGTTTAAAAGTTCTCCATAAGTCTGGTGATGTATCGCTTTCTTGCTGGTCCGCCACACACTCCATCGTAATCTGCTTCCTTCAAGCCACCCTTTCAGCCTCCTGCTTTAAATTCAGTCTTTTCGGGATTGGGCATTCCCCTCCCCCTTCCGCTTGTTTGGGGCTTTGGCTTTACTGCTAGCGTTTTATCGGTTGTTTGCTGGGTCATGGCTTCACTCAGGTTTGTACTTGCGTTTGTTGTGCATGTAGAGAAGACCATTCCTTGGGATCCTTGTGCGCTCTGTCCATTGTGCACCTCTTTGTGCCATACTGGCTCCGTGCCACAGAGGCCTATCGGGGCAAAAAGGTGCCTCAATCCTTTGGCTTCTGCCTTGGGAGAGGCACCTCTCGCGCCCCAGGCTATGACCCCCCTCCAGGGGGTCTGAGGGCCCAAGATCAACTCGGACCCCCCCCATCGGCACATTTGTGGGGCGCTCACATCAGAGCTGCGATGGAGCACACCCGCCTGCGAGTTGTCAAAACCGGAAGTCCGTATTATGAAAAAATATTTAGGCTTCAGTTCTGCAGTGGATATATTTCTTCATCACATTAGGAAAACATACGCGCGCACACTTACCTGTCAACAATACTAATCTATGAGTTAACACATAACATTCTTACTGTCTGTTTTCATAAGGTGATGAAGAAATATATTCACTGCAGAACTGAAGCCTAAATATATTTTCATAATACAACATCACGGTTGTTTTTGTTACTGACTGCACCCTTCCCGTGCTCTCTCTGTTGTTTCTACACCAACCTGGAGGTTGGCAACCCTACCGTGACCCTTCCAGCTGGTTTCGGTCATCCCAGGAAGCTCCAGTTTGTGTCTGCCTCGGGAGGTGGTGGAGGCTCCTTTGCTGGACGTTTTCAAGTGGAGGCTGGACGACCATCTCTCGGGTATGTTGTAGGGCTTTCTTTCGGCTATGCTCGTGCAGAGTGCAGGGGGTTGGACTAGATGACCCGCAAGGTCCCTTCCAACTCTAACATTCTATGATTCTATGTAGACAACAGTCAGACCCAGAGTTGTAGGTGGGGGGTGAAAGAGTGCCTTCCGCCTTGAAGGTCATGCACACAACCTAATGACATTTTTTTGGTCTTCCTCCCTCCCACGGTAAAGGCCAGAAACCTATTTCCTAAGTTGGTGGTGGAAGGAGTGTTTGATTCTCGGTCTAAACTTTCCACTCCTCTACAGCATATGGAAATGAGGGCTGATGATCTGCAGAACAAAGACTCATAATCAGATTCACTTGCTTTTGAATTGTTTTCTTTTTGTAGCCTGCAAGCTCCAGCTCTCAGGAACTGGGCCTCTGTCTCCCTGGGAGGAGATTTAAACCTGTCAAAGAGATCTATTGATTTACTGTGTTTATACTCCACTTTCTCCCCGTCAAGTGACTTAACATTGTTCTCCTCGCCTATATTTTATCCTAACAACAACCCTGTGAGGTAGGTTAGGCTGAGAGCGTGTGGCTGACCCAAGACAGATTTAGGTGGGGTCGCCATGTTGGTCTGAAGCAATAGAGCAAGGAGGCCCGGGGGGCCCAGTTCGGAGGCCGCTTCTCTCGCTCTTCCCCCTCCCAGGGCCAGCGGCCGCTTCGGTCTGGCTGGATTCCAGCTGCCCTGCAAAGCCGGATTTGAGGCCAGGCAATAAGCTGCTCCATTTGCAAGTGTGTGTGTGTGGGGGGGGGACTAAGCTTGTGTGTTCCAAAGGGTAGTAAAAACTATTGCTGTAGAGTCGTAGGGTTGCCAACTGCCTGGAGACAGCCCCATAGCCTGGAATTTTTAAGTCGGGGTTGGGGGGGCATTTAAATTCCTTAGAAACACCAATCAAATAAGTGGTGCCCGTTTCACACCTCCCTGCACCCTTCCTTTCAACATTTCTGGCACACAGCCCGACAACTTCTGCTCCCAGACTAGGAAGTGACAACTTCTGCAACTTTGTGTGTGATAAATAACCTGAGAGAGACTTATCTCTTATAGCACATTTGCCAGCAGGAAAAAAGCAGAGAACTATTTTGAGTTAATGATGTGTGTTTTTTTAAAATAAAGCACAACTCTTTTATTAAGCAACAACTTGATAAGGATACACAGGTACTAATTAATTTTCCTGTGCAGGGAAAAAAAAAATTGTGGCAGGGTACGAGCTTTCGCAAATCATTCCCTGCCACAAATTGTGTTAATCTTTCAGGTGCTCCTGGACTTTTGGTCTTTTCTACTGCTACAGCCAGACGAACAGGGCTGCCCATCTTGCTCTATCTCCGGGGGAGGGGGGGGATGCATGCAATAAAAACCCGGTCTCCAAACATTTCTCAAACTTAGTGAAAACCAGGTTTTAGATTATTGACAGAATGCTATGTAAAGCTATGAAGGTCTGCACCCCCAGAGAGAGAGCGAGAGAGAGAGCGAGAGAGGAGGAGGAGGAGGAGGAGGAGGAGGAGAATACTTCAAACAGATGGAGAGTTGAT